GTCTGCGAGGTGTGAGGCGACTAGGGTTATGCTGTGTGCAATGCACCACATCCAGAGGCGGACTGCTTCCTCGCAGAGGGGGTAAGATCTGGCCCCTCCCTGCCTGTTGATGTAGAACATTGCAGCTTGGTTGCCTGTAAAAATCTGCACAGTGGAGTTGGAGATGTGGTCCTTGAAATGCTGGCAGGCATAGAATACTGCACAGAGCTTGAGGGTATTGATGTGCAGAATGGTCTCTGTGGGTGACTATCGGGCTTGTGTGGTAAGGGTGCCAAGGTGGGCTCCCCAGTCTATTTGGGAGACATTCATGGTAATCATAGTGGAGGGGACTCACTTTTGGAAGGGGACCCCAGCTCACATGTTTTGTGCATTCAACCACCACTGGAGCAAGTTTCTGATGGTGACTGGCACCGAGACCAGCTTGAGGAAGCTGTATCTTCTTGGTCTTATTTCTATACTGTGCTGAGCCAGTATTGTAGTGGCCTCGTGTAATCTGGCATGAGGGACTATGGTGGTGGCTGCTGCCATGTGGTCTACGAGAGACATGCTCTGGCGCGTAGTTGGAGAGCTGTGCAGTGCAGTTGGATGAGCTCCCGTATGGCCAGGAATCTGTGATGGGGCAAAGATGCAGTGGCGGTGGTGCAATCTAGTCGGGCCCCTATGAACTCTAGCACCTGGGTTGGTTGGAGTTGACATTCTGAGAGGTGCATCTGGAGGCCCAGGGATAGAAAGAGTTCCATGGTGATACTGACTTTTGTGTTTCTTGAAGGGAGTTGGCCCTTATAAGGCAGTCATCCAGATAAGGGAAAATGGACACTCCCTGCCTGCACAGATGAGCTGCGACTACTGCCAGTACCTTAGAGAATACCCTTGGTGCAGTGGAAAGGCTGAAGGGGAGTTCCATGTACTGGAAGTGGTGTCCACCTGCAGTAAATCTGAGGTATTTCCTGTGTGGGGGTGGATAGGCCCATGGAAACACACATCCTGGAGGATGACAGTCGCCAACCAGTCATCTTTGTTGAGGGAGAGGATGATGGTGGAAAGGGTAACAAAACAGAAGTACTGGGAAAGAACATGCCTGTTGAGGCCTCTGAGATCTAAGATTGGCCTCCATCCCCCTCACTTCTTTTCTGTGAGGAAATACCGGAAATAGACGCCAGTGTTGTGGTACTAGTGGGGAATGTTCCACTACTTTGATGGAGAGCAGGTGGTCGATTTCTTGGCAGAGGATAGACTCACGAGGGATGGAGTGGGTGGTTGAGGTTTGGAGATGGACAGAAATGGTATGCAGTATCCATTCTTTATGACATCCAGCACCCACTTGTCGGATGTTATGAGGCACCAGTAATGATAGAACGGTGCTAGGTGTTGTATGGATATTGGAATATCATGAAGGACGGGTGGGGAGAGACAAATTTGACTCCCAAACTGAGCTTCAAAACATTTATCTATTATTAGAGAGCTGGGATGGGGTGGGCTGGTTGACGGATTGCCGCTTTCTGCCCTGGCGCTGGCACTTCCTCTGGTCATAGTGCCTCCGTGGTTGAGTAAAGAAAGCAGGTCTGTGTCTCTATGTATAGCATTTGTTTTGTTTTCATCTTGGCACAGGAATTTGAATGCACAGTGTGCAAAGAGTGGCTCTAAAATCTTTCAAGGAATGCAACAAAGTGTTGGTAGACTCCGTGAAGAGCTTTGGGTCTTCAAATGGGAGGTCTTCCACCCTTGTCTGGACTTCCTTTGGGAAGCCAGATATATGGAGCCAGGATGCTCTCCTCATCAAAACCGCGGCTGCAAGGGAACAAGCGGCAGTGTCAGCAGAGTCAAGGGCAGCCTGTAGGGCTGTCCTGGCTATTAAGGAGCCCTCATTTGTGTTGGCTTTAAACTGCTCCCTTTTTTGTTCTGGAAGATACTGAATAAAAGTGGATATCTTCTTGAAGATGTGATGTGTATATTTTACAAGCACAGCCATGTAGTTCAAGATGCGAAGCTGGAGGGAGACAGAGGAGTAGGCTTTTCTACCCAAAAGGTCAAGTCATTTCCACTCCTTATCAGAAGTGGATTTTGGTAAGGTAAGTTTGCCCTCTGGTTGGCAGCGTCAACAACATGGAAATTGGCAGGAGGGTATGTGAAGAGGAATTCCGCACCCTGAGAGGAGACGTAATATTTTCTATCTGCCTTTTTGCCCACCGGGGATATAGTGGTGGGTGTTTGCCACAGTTGTTTAGTGGGATCCATGAGGGCAGGGTCCATGGGTAGCACTAAGTTAACCACCAGTGTGACTTGTAGGATGCTCGTGTGCTTATGTTGAGTGTCAGGCTGCGTCATTAATGAAATTTCTAATACATCAGCCACCCTTTTAAAGAGGTCCTGGAAAACCCTGGAATCACCACCTGAGGGGAGGAGGACAACTGAGTTGGTGGGTGAGGATGAATTGTTTGAGTCATTGTCGCTGAAAGGGTGATCAAAGTTGATTTGATCCCCAGACACATCTAGGGAGGTGACCAGTGTGGGTCTTGAATGAACCTGATTAGCATGATGGTATTGTTGCTGCTGCTGGTGTGTTCTGAAAGATGCCCAGGGGTCCCAGTAGGGCTAAGAGGTAGTAGCCATTGGTTGGGGTGCCACTGAGGTATCATAGGTTATGGCTGAGGCATCTTCCTCTTAGGAGAGGAATGCCTGGGTGATATGGCATTTGAGAGAGAGACACGGCTTCCTTCTCACTAGATAAAGGAGATGCAGAAGGTGTTATATTTGCTGGAGAGAACCTGGCTAGTGCTGGGGAGGTGTCAGTACCAAAAAGCGGAGTTGTGGGTACCGAGGTAACTTTTGGTTGGTCTGCAATTGTAAAAGAATAAGTTTGAGGCATAAGTGCGTGTGCGCCTTTTGACTTGCCCGGTACTGGAGAAAGTACACATGCCAGTGGTGTCAAGCGTGGGGCTTTGGTACAACCGCTATTTTTATCAATAGCGGAGCGCAGAGCTGGTGGTAATGGGGGTTGCCCTGGGTTTTTGTGCCGCAGGGGGCTTAGGCTTGCTAGCTTGTTTCAGCATTGTAGCCAGGTCCTGGGACCCCCAGGGTGCAGTAGGTGATCGCAGCATTGGAAAGCTCTTGTCTGGAGCCCCCACAGGGGACAAGGGAGGCAATTTTAAGGTAAAAGCTGACTAAAATTTGTGGTAAAAAGGCTGTCTGAGGAGCTCAATGCACAGCGCACTGTGGGTTCTGACCAATGCCACTGGTGGTAGAGAAGGAACTGAAGGGCATGCACATTAACTGCCCAGCATGTGGAGTGTGCTGTGCACGCGCAAACGACCTGTCACTAACACTACTACTGAAATCTTCCGGCTGGGCGTGCTGTGGCGCTCAAACTCCTAAGGTGGAGCACTCACAGAGATACTCCTCAAAGAAGCAGCTGTTTTATTCATTCTTAGAGCTGCAGCACTGAATGAGACTCAGTAGGTACTGGAGCCACCTCAGTCTGGGCCTGCAAATTGTTTCCAACATTTCAGTGCTGATAGCGTCTTGGCACTAGGACATCTCAGCTAGGACTTCAGAGCGAAAAAAAGGTGATGGCAGTTCCTACTTAGAACCCTGATGTAGTTACAGAAACAGTTCTTTTGATTTTGTCTAGAGGGACTCCCACAAAAGGAATACCTCTATCTTCATTCAACTGTCTTGCAGGTTCTGCAAGCCAAACCATCATCAGACATCACCTCTGGGTAAAACCAGCATCACACACTGGAGAGAAAATATACCTTTGAGACAAGAAACCCAAATTTGGGAGTGATGACTAAGTAGACACTAAAGAATCAGGACTACAGTGTCACCTTTAACCACAAAATCAATAGTGCCAAGATTTCAGCATCAGAGTTGGTCATTCTAAATAGATCTTTAAAGCACTTAAACGAAGCACAGAATCTCATACTGGGACTTTTGACACTGACATACAATTTAGGAGATTTGATATACGCTGACCTTCCAAATGTGATTGGTTGCCTTGTCTGTCCAATCTGCTACTTCCAAAGAGTGACTCTGTTGCCCAATCAGAGGTCCAAAGCATGTCCTCACAGGAATGGTCTCCCTTGTCCACACACCTATCAGCAGAAAGGCACTGACTGCAGAGTCAATTATTTAAACAAGTCAAGCACTACCAAAAAATGGGCTGTTTTTCAGATAATGTTCTGAGAGTTACACCAGGGTATCAGACCATAAAACCTTGCATTCCATAAATGGGATACAATTATCACAGAAACAAGAGCCACTACCATCATATAACACCCCACAGAGCCATTTTGTCCTAATTACAATATTTATTTTTGTGTTCTAAAGCAAGTCATTTACTTTCAGATGAGCTTGTAAAACTAAAGACTTCATGGAACTTTCAGCAGAACAAGAAAATGTATCATTTCAGGACCTACCTAAATTCCCACGAATTTAGTCTACCTAATCCCCACAAATTGCCAGAATTGTTGCTAGGCCCTGTTAAATAGCTTCTGCATTTCTGCCAGAGGCAAATGTATTTCTGTGATGGGCGGATAAATTCCTGTATCCATATTATTTATTATTATTAATAATAATAATAAACATTTATATTTATAGCCCTATATCAATACATTTGATAGCTTTCAAGAACAAAGTTGAAAATAGTGCAGCTCAGCACAGGGTTAATTTGTTCCCAACAAGAACCATCACTAAGCAAACAAACTTCTTTAGCTGAAGTTTCCAACTAGTCTTTGGAACCCTAGAGTGCAATACAATAATCCAATCTTGGTGACAAAAACATGGATAATAATAATAAGACCCACATCTAAAAGGAAGGTCATAATCTACTTGCCAAGTGTAGATGGAAAAGGCAGCACTTGAGCAATTGTATTACCAGAATACCCAGAAGCAGCTAGGGATTCCACAAGAACCCCAGACTGCAAACCTGAAGATATGTCCACACTAAACTGCTACAGCTGTACCTCTATAGTGCTTTTTTTGTATATGCTATCTACACCAAGAGGAGAGGTTCTCTCATCAGCCCAGGTAATCCATTTCCCCAGGAAGTGATAGCTATGTCAATGGAAGGATTCTTCTGATGACCTTGTGCTGGCTACACTTAAGTTAACTCAGCATAGCTAGGTTTCTCAGGGGCATGGATTTTTCTCACTTCTGAGCCATAGCTATATGCCTCAGAAGTAAATTCTCACTACAGATCAGCCCTAACTGATGAATAGTGGTCAGATGTTTGATGGTTTTTGGTGTTGCTTCCCTCAGAACTACAATCAGTATCTCTATCTATCTTAAACCTCAAGCAGCTAGCTCTTGTCAAGCTCCAATTTCAGCCAGTCACCGGGAAAGTTAGTTAACTGCAGTGTCTGGATTTGATGAAACAAAAGGAAAAACTGTGTAGCACTTTAAAGACTAACAAGATGGTTTAATAGGTGATGAGCTTTCATGGGCCAGACCCACTTAATCCACCTACTGAAGGTAATAGACCCAGTCTGCTTCACCTACTCCCTCAACTACCTAAAACAGGAAGAATGACTAATACAATTCAATAAAAGTGAGTTTTAAAGCTAATAAGTAATCACCCTATATTCCCCCCCCCCCCCCCACTCCAGGCAGCTTCACTGAAAGTAAAAACAGATTGCAGAGATTCAAAAGCAAGTCAATCAGCCCAGCTAGGGTCTGCTGGCACATCAACAGCACTGAAGTTGTTAGTAGGTCTAGCACTAGAGATGTAAGCAAATAGTGAAGTAACTGATAAGCAAATGCTTATCGATAGTTGATAGTCGATAGTCGAGTAGCAACTCCATTAGTTGCTTCCCCTCACTTGCTGCCTCTATCAGAGAGAGAGGCAGCAAGGGGGGGGGGGAGAGCAGGAGCCAGTGCTGGGGGGAGCCGGCTTAAAAGCCAGTTCTCCCCAGCACCATCTCCACAGGGGACAGGGGATGCAGAGGTGTAGCAGGACTGCACAGGTTCCCATTGTGAGCTTCTGCTTTTGAAATTTACAAGAGCCCATAGAGCTCTTGTAAATTTCAAAAGCAGAAGTGTGCAGGAAGCACAAAGCAAGCAGGAATTCAAGCAGTCCTCACTCACCCTGTGCTCTCTGTGGCACCCCTCCCCTTGCTGCCTCTATGAAAAGCAGCAAAAGGTGGGGGACAGGAGCTAGGAGTGGCTCTTACTAAATTTAAAATGCAGAGCCACAGCGCCGGTGGCTCCAGGGCTAGCCTGAGGCAGGACTGCTCATTCCCAGCTCAAGTAGGCTCCTGGAGCAACCCCTGCTGCGGCTCTGTCGCAAATTGTATTGACTATATGATTAGCCAGATAATAGCATTTTAACATCCTTATCTAGCACCATATTAGAAACCAGATCTTTATCGAAACCAGGAGGTTATCTAACACAATTAGTAAGCAATGCTTATTACCATATTCAGGTCTGAAACCAAACTCACTGATATTAGGAAAATTAAGATTTGTTATTATTAGAGCTGGATCATTGCATCTCTTTGATAATCTCCCTCAAAAAAAAGAAGACTTAAGGTAGGGTAAGAATTTGCAATACTCACCATGTCAAGAGAGAACATGTCAGCTCTTCAGCTGGTATAAATCAGTTTACTTTCTTTGACTTCAATGGAGCTATGGTGATTTACACCACCTTGATCTTGTTCAATCTAAATTGGAGCCTTTTTCAGAAATGCTGGTTCCTTACTCTTCCACACATCAACAATTTCTTCCAAAAGAGATTAAATATCTCTTTGGATGAAATATGCAAGTCTCAAGTTATGTTTTACATGTACACTTTACTTATTGTGGCTGTGCAACATTTCCAGCATTGAAAACAGAATATATTTTGGCTAGACAGGAGTACTGCAGGTCCTATTTATTGCTGAATGGTTATGAAAGAGAAACAAACACATCTCCTGCACTAACATTTTAGCTAGACTAGACATTAAATTATATCGGAACACATTAGCAAATGCATCTGAAAAGTCTAGTGCAGACAAGGCAATATATACATTAACATGTACTAAGGTGGATGAATTGAAGCTTAGACTTTGCTCCAGCTTCAAATCAACTAGGTTAGCACATCATAAAGCAAACATTGCCTTATCTACACAAGGCTATCTACTGTGTTAGCTAACATATTTAATGAGCCAACTTAAAATCCTAGTCTAAGCAAAGTCCAAAAATAAGGCCACAGACCAAGACCTTTTTGCACATTAAATGTAATCATGGTGACTGTCTGAGGTGATCTCTGCAGTCTCCTCCTTAATGTTTCCTATTGTTATTAATATCAGTGGAGTTGTTTTACTGCTGTGTTGAGATATATAACTAGATCTTCCTTACCTAGTTCAGCTCCCATGATAGACTGCCGGAGAAGAAGCTGTTTCGGGAGAGAAAGTCTGGCTCGGCTCTCTATTGGGGTGTCAGGAATGAAAGTTACAGGCCCATGATCTGGACAGTCTGATGGATAGGCCTTGTCACACAGCGTGCACCCTGTGGGTGGGTAAAAGGACAATACAAATGTGTGAGGTATTATTTATTATTGGTATTACAGTAATACCTAGAAGACCCAAATGACAAAAAGCCCCACTGTGATCAGCCCTCTACAATAAGAGAGACTCCCTGTCAAAGTGCTTAAAATCTAATTAGACAGGACAGACACAGAGTTGAAGGAAGTATGATTATAAGTATCATATAAGTATGATATATATCCCTTTTATGGGTAGTGAAAGGAAGCAAGAGAAATTAGGGCTCTGTCCAAAGTCACATGAGAAATCTATTACACAGCTGGGAATGGAAAATTCCAAACAGGAGCAGATCTATAGGCTTCTTCTGATTGATAACTCATCAGCATCATTGGATTTTAATATTAAATCAGATTAATATGTTGTTTTAAGGGACCCCTTCTTACTCCACAGATTTATCTTGTGATGCCTCTGCCTACTTTATTGGCTTTAACAAGTTTTTCCAAACTTATCCCTGTATATCTAGCTCCCATTAAAGCAAAAGAGCTTGGACAATTTATATGAGCTGATTGTCTGCCTCCAAAATGAATAATAGTATCATAATGTGGCCCTACATGAAGTATACATTGAATGACTATATGGTCACAACCACATCCATTGCTAGATGGATGAGTGCATAGGGCTGACATTAGAATGGATTAATGTGTAAGGATGACACTCATGGTTAGAATAACTGCAATAACAGGAGTTGATAACATGAAATAGCCTCTAGTTCAACAACAGAAAGACAGCATGGAAACATATGGAAAATACAAAGTAGAACACTGAGAATGACTTTTTTTTTAATTGGACATCTACATCTAGTAGTGGAATGGATGAGAATTCATTGCCCATATTTTATCTGCATATCAGTACCTTAGCTCTCCTAACTTTAAAAAAAAATCTCAATTTATTTTACAAATACAGATTTTAACCTCAAAATAGGAGAGTAGTTATTAGGGATGTAAAATCCCATTTAACTGGAACTGATAAGCCTCACCTGGTTCCTTTCACATTCCTAGCAGTTATTAGCCTTTGTAGGTCTTTGTATTTTCCCCATTTGTAAAACGGAGGTACTGCAGAAGTACTAATCTCCCATAGAAACAACTGAAACAAAAAAAACCCAGGCTTGGAGTACCTGGAAAAAAATTTATTTCCTCCCTACTTTCATGTTTCTGGACACAAACTCATTTTATTAAAAAATAAAATGAAAAGCTAAAATGAAAGTTTTCATTTGGGAAAGTTATTCTTTACAATAAAACATAAGATATATCTACACTACCAAAAGAGGGTACACTCTTAATCTGGGTTAACTAAACTGAATTAACTAACTGCAGTTGAAAAAGTGGTTTAGACATAGCTGCTCTGCTTTTAACGGGGTTAGCGGCTCAAGTCAAAGCCCATACCAACCTGCTAACTCCAAATAAAACAGAGTTGCCGCATCTACACCACTATCTCAACCAGTTAGTTAATGAGAGTTAACTAACCTGAAATAAAAGCATACCTTTTTTGGGGCAGTGCAGATATACACGAGTAGCATTCAGCAATGCCATCAATTTATGCTTTGTCAAGTCCATTCAACCATTTGAAGTAAGAAGGATCTGGGGAAAACCTCTAGATGCACATAAAATCATGCAAAATCTGGAGATTTTTAAGCTAAACGTATTTCTTCTTCAAATGCATGATGGTCAAGCTGGGGATTCTGATAGGGTATTGTAAGACAGAGAAAGAAGAAAACCAGATAATGACAACAATGGTATTGAAATGTAAAGGCCTTCTTATTAAAATATAGCCTCACAGTTAAGTGGCAGCAAGCCAGACAGACAGACGGTGGAAGTACTAGACAGACACGGATCTCCACTGCAGGAAATAAATTTTGTGATACTCTCGAGCACTGCCCTCCAGACAGTCCAGAAGGGACAAGAGGCTCTAGAGCAAGACCTGAACATGTCCTCTTGAAAGATCAGTTAGCCTCAAAACACAAAACCTTTTTATAGAGGTCACTAGAGAAATTAGAAGAACATCCCTTTTTTCTGGATTTTCTGTTGAGTGCCTCATTTTTCATGGCTCCTTACAACTCTATATTATAATCATGGTTTTGGTATGTGATATAATTAAAACTTGTCAAATTAAAAAGTCAGGAAATCCACAAAAGACAAAAAGTTCACAGGGTAACAATTAAGGTTCCAACCTCCAGGCAAAGTGGGAAAACATACAACAGAATCATGTTAAAACAGAGATCCATTATGTCTAGATGTTGGAGGTTTACTCCCCAATTGCAAATTTTCCAACTTTGCTTAATGGTCTTAACAGGTTTCTCCCACTAAAAGACATCTATAAGGCTCAATGCAATAGTTTTGATATTCTCACCCCTTACAACAGTTACAAAATAAATGCAACCCAGAGGCAGAACCAAGTATACTGGCACACTCACATATGGTAAACAAAGTAGCCATATTCTCCTTGTTTGAATTGGAGTCTTCCATTTGTAGAGATGATGGTACATAGGTGAGATTGTCTGAAGACACATCCACATGGCCTGGCCCCATGGCTACTTCCTGGTTTATGGAAGACACAGACACAGGCTCAAGACTGAGGCCCACTTCATGCAAGGAGACAGATTCCAAGGAAGTTAGGTTGTGTGAGGTAGAGAGCGCCACGCTCACAGAGTTGGTGCTCATGGCCACAGTATGTATGGAGTCATTTAGCGTACTGTCCGATATACCGCTTACCCGGCCTGCAATGTGGTCAGGCTCCATGACAACAGGAAGCTCCAAATTGCTACCATGAATGGGTATGACACCACCATGACCCACTGCATCTGAAGCCAAGTTACTGCCTACTGTGTCTACAGCTAATGGTTCATGATTCCTGGAACCATTTGGGATTTGTGAATGATCCCCAGCTACATCATCCATTGTAAGCTCCTCAGTCATCCCATCAGTAGATATTGGACTGGTTACCCTTGAAACACTTTCCATAGTGATTGTGGTATCCAGTGCTACCTCATGGCTGTCACTAGGATGCAGGCTTTGAGCACCATGTGTGTTCACTGCACGAGAGTCCATGGAGACAATCCCTGATTCCAGTCCCACAGTTCCGCCAGGCTGGAAGGGATCTAGGGCTGAAGGGTTACTGGAGACCGATAAAGCCGGATTGCTATCAACATTTATAGTGTTGGGGTGGATGTATTGAGGTGGTGGTCTGTCAGCTAAATAAGATAAAATACCTGATGAAAGGGAAGAGATGGAGAAAAGGAGAAAAAGAAGAGGGTGAATTTCAATTTTCAAACAGTAAAAAATAATCCACAACTACAAACCATTTCAGCACACTTTATCAAGATACTTTATGAGACTAACTGCAGTTTCCTTTTAATATACCCTTTATTTTCAATTAAGACAAGACTCAGCTAGGTCTTCCAAATGCAAACTCTTGGCAATTCTAAACAAAAAAACCAATCACAAAGAAACATGTGACAACAATACACCTTTACCAGTGGCAATATAGGTGCAGTTTAACTTTGTAAAATTATGATGAGTCACCTCTGCAAGTTTTCATCCACTGAAACAAATGCTCTATTAATTTTGATACATTCAGGACAGCTGAGCCTCTGACGACATATGACCCACACTTCATAGTGAAATGAGACAAAGAGTTTATATAGCAATTTGAGTACAGGCAGTCCCCGAGTTACGCGGATCCGACTTACGTCGGATCCGCAGTTAAGAACGGGGGTTTTCTCGCCCCGGAGGACGGGAGCGGCGGGACGCCCAGATGAGCCGCAGTCCCGCCGCCCGCGTCCTCCGGGGCGAGAAAAGCTGCTCCCCGTCTCCCTGGTCTGCTGGTCAGACCAGGGGGAGCAAAGCCTTGGAGCACGCCCACAGCGGGACAGCCCGGGCGTGCTTGAGCTGTCCCCCTGCAGGCGTGCTCCGCGCCTTT